GCCTCATCTTCTTCTTTTTCGATAAATGTTGATACCTTAAAATAAATAAACTACTGGAGGTAGTCGCTGGGAAGCCTGTATTTATTCCATACTATTCCATCAACCTACCGCGCGGCCGCAAGAGGTAGAGGGGTAAAGGATAGAGAAGTTTCAACTGTCCTCTTCCCCAGTTTATGCAATCTCTATGGTCCATAGCTTTCACTGTTACAAAAACACAACCTCTCCTTTTACTAAAGCACAAATAGGATGACCCAAACTGGAAACATAAACAGTGACTTCTGTCGTGACCCGAAAGTACAATGACCTGTTTTCCTGACCGAAATTTGAAAGATACGTGTGGTGGCATTTTCCCAGGACCATTTACTCTAGGCTCTGATGAAACAATTCATTGTAAAAACACATTTGTGTGTGTGTGTGGGGGGGGGGGGGGGGGAGGAGGAGGAGGAGGAGGTGATTGGCGCATCTAAATTTGGAGTTTATCGAATAAATCCCGAATTGGCCAAAAGTCTACCGGCGGGTGTTTCTCGGAGTTTGTCGGATTTATCCGAAAACACGGATCCCTAGTTATGAATCACATGCCCCCTCCCCTTCATCCCCCCCCCCCCCCACACACACACACACCCGCCACTCCAAACTCCCTCAAAAATACTGACCTTTTTCAGTTCAAACCGGATTTGGAAAAATTATTTTGGCGTGCTTTTACCGGTTTTATGCAGTTTAAGCCGAAAACGCTGAACCTATAAATATAGCGAATGGAGTTAAAAAAATGCATGTCTCAAAGTAGGCACTGCAAAGGAATTGAGGTTCTTGGGCCAATTTGTCGAAAGCCAAATCGTCGACGGCCAATTGGTCGAATCCGTTCTGTTGGAAGCAAGTTGGGGAGTGGGGGAGTAGACTCGATGCGCACATGAAGGCTCCTCGGGGCAGTACCGAAGCCCCCGCTGGTGCGTATTCTGGCTATTTCTTGAGCAGTTCTGCTAATTTTGACGCGCAAGTTTGCTGGTGATATCGTCTACAATAAATGAATCAATCGCACGGCAATGTGCTGTCGTTAGTTGTTAAAAGAAGAAAAAAAACAGAAAGCGTGTGCGGCAACGGTGTGCTCAGTCCATGCTGTACGGCAACAGCATTGAGACTGTGGCATGTTCCTGCTTCACCGGTTTCCACTCGATCGAGGCCTTCGTCGGCAATAATCTGTGAATTTAACTCAAAACAACTTCTCGCCTGCAAGCTGCAGCCACGTGTTTCCGGCACATTTTATTCACGGCGAATGAACCCCGCAGAATCGGTGCCCATGGTACACCTTGAATACGCTTTACATTAAAGTCCCATTATCTTACCGGTTCTATTAATGCATCTGTAATCGACGCATCTCCTGCTTCTTTTTTTTTTCTTTTTTTCTTGGGGGGGGGGGGGGGGGACGTTTTACGCTTACATGGTAATTACAAAACGACGAGTACTACGGAACCTCACCGGACCGCCGCAAACCAGACGGTTCATAACTTGAACTTATGGATATATTTTTCCGAGTACCTTTTCCTCTTTCCCTGATTCTACAAAAAAGACCAGACAACGCGGCCAACATCGACGCGAAGATATCACCTCTAACCACCCAATCTCTTCAAAGATGAGCGTAACTTAAGTAGTAGTAACTACTGCTAATTTTATTTGTTTTTAGCAATCATACAGCAGCAGCACTCGGGACACTGACTTGAGTGCAATCCCGTCGCCGCCAACGTACATTTCTCCACTAGCTGTTAAATAATGCCATGCAATGTCCAGCCCTTTTTTTTTACGTTCGGTTTTGTTTTCACAAAACGCTATCGATTACAGCCTTTTCACATGCGTGCTGTTTTGTCGCTGTGCTGTTTTGACGCCGTGCTGTTTTGGCGCAAGCTCTTCTGTCGCTGTGCCGTTTTGACGCTGTGCTGTTTTGTCGCGTGCTATTTTGACGCGTGCTGTTTTGTCGCCTGCTGTTTTGTCGTGTGCTGTTCTGTCGCTTTCCCGTCAAATGGGTCCTGCCGACCAGATGGACGATTTATGTGTCAACGTTTCGAGTCGACACTGCGATGAACCGTTCATTCGATTGCATTATGTAATTACCAAGTATCACCAAGTTTGGCCGAGCTGACAAGGGTCACCAGGAAAGTCCTCTAGACGGCAGCCAACGTTTCGCTAAAGGATGATAAAATTCTGAGGAAGCGCCCAGCCGAAATCTTGACGGGGAGCTTACAAAAAGCGCAATTTAACGTACATTTTTGCCAGTTCTGAGATGTTCGGAAAACTTCGGGTACGCATCTCCGCGAGCATGAGCTCGAAACTTAGCGAAACGTCGGGTGGCGCCTTGAGACTTTCCCCGGGAGCCATTTGCGAGTGGCGTCTTTCCGCGTCGCCTTGCTGCTTCGATCGGAAGTTTGACGCCAGGATGAATGAATGGATGGATGGAATTAACTTGGCTATACCCTTTGTAAACGAGTGGTAGCTTGCGTCAACTAGCCGAAAAATATTTATACCCCTCTCCTTTACATGTTGTTTTAAATTCCTTGTCTCGTCAGAGCGTCTCACTCACGAATTTCCCGTAATATCAGGCTTCTCAAGACCCTTGTCAGTCATTTTATAATCTCCTCTTTGTTCCTGTAATGCTTTCTTCCTCCGTTCTTCCATCCTCGCCAGCGAAAGCCAGCGCTCCCTCCAGATCCGTTACGGTCCCTCAGAAAGGGCAGGACGAAGCCCTTGCATGTCAAAACCAGATGTTGTAGCGTCTCACCATATCATACGGCACGCAATGTGTCTATCTCGAGAGATTTACCACTACTCCCGTTCTGTTCTTTAACGGTAAAGAGCTGCCCCGTTAATTACCAAACACGAGGTCGCTGCTTGAAGTGTCGCTTTCTCTGGTGCTTGTTCCAGGCGTGCAGCGGTCTCCAGCCGTCCAGAGGGGCTCGAAACGGAAAAAGGAGGTCGGCGGCAGCGGTGGCGGCGGCGGAGGCGGCGGCGGTGGTGGTGGTGGTGGGACCGCGGGCGGAGGCAACGCCGCGGGCAACGGCGTTGGCACCGGTGGCGGGGTCGTCGTCAAGGAACTCGAGACGTCCGCGACGTCCCCGACGTCCGCGGCGACCGGCACGGCGTCCACGCCGGGCCCCGGGCGTGGCCGTCTCTCGGTGAGCCCCGTGAACGGCGCTTCGGGCGACTGTGCGGACAAGGCTGCCCGCAAGAAGAAGGCGCGCACCACGTTCACAGGGCGACAGATCTTCGAGCTCGAGAAACAGTTCGAGATAAAGAAGTACCTGTCGTCCAGCGAGCGCGCGGAGATGGCCAAGCTTCTCAACGTGACCGAGACGCAGGTGGGTGTCACTCTCGGAGTACTTACCTGCGGGCTGTCGGACAGCGGAAGCTGCAAGGGGAGGCTAACCGAGCATCGACGCCTGTGTGCAGTGGTCGACCACGGCAAGGACAGCCGCATAGCGATTGTTGACGAACAGGGGCTCTAAGTCGGACACTTGGCGAGGAAGTCGGCGAGACCGCCGACCACCGCGATTGGCTAGCGCCGCGCTCCGATGGACCATGTGACAGAGGTTAAACGCGATGCTGACTAATCGCGGCTGTCGGTGACCTGGCCGACTTTCTCGCCAAGTGTCCAACTTAGAGCCCTTGTTCCATGCTTTATATGATTGTGCGAAAGATTTGTTCCCACCATTCTGGCACCGGATAGTTCAAACCAAGTAATGGATAGGATGTATCGGATATATGTTCTATTCAGTCTAAAATCATGTTACGAGGACTTAAATAATGAGAGATAGGATTATTAGGGCTGTTAACCAATTAAGATTTTTTTAACCGATTTATCAGCGACCTTTAGTATATTAATTAATTTGTGCGATGGGGAGGTTGATTCAAATGTTAAAATATCTCGAAGTGTTCCGCAGGATTTTGGGAGCAGAATTGCTGGGATTTCTAAATCCTTAGCGAGGGAGGACCTTTTAAAAGGGCGATGCAACGATTTTTGTTATTTGCGCAAATACCGCTTAGAACGGATCCCTGACGTTAATGACCTGTGAAACACTCGTTCGTTTTTCACCATACGCAATCGGAGTCGCAGAAAAAATAAAGAAAAGCGAGCAGGGTTCTCCCCCTCAACTGGCAGCCAGAACAAGCGGCCATGTGATCTGGAGCCGATTATATGCCGCCTATGTTCATCATAGCCACGCGCTGGGGTTGGCAAGGCACAGGACACGCGTTGAGTTCCAGACATTGTTATGGTTCGGCTATTGTCGCCATTGCAGCAATTGGACACGGGCCACTACCCGAAGGCTTCTCGAGCTATCGATTATCACGAGCCCAAATCGAGTGCCCACGCAATGATCAGGTCCAATCTATGAGCCGCATTCAAATATCGTCACTGGGTCGTACTGCGCCCACCCAGCACGGCATCAAGTTGTGCGAAGGAGAGATGGAATGGGAAAACACTCGCTTTTGTCCTTGAAATTGCACCGCAACAAGGGAGTTACTTGGCCAGTCGCATTGCGTGCGAGTATACTTGGGGTCCCACTAGTGCCAGTAAGTTCGTTAAAGTGAAAAAAATTTCCAATAGAATATCGTTGCACCGCTCCTTTAATTAAGGTCCCATTGAGGGAAAAAGCGGCGATATGGCCATAAAAATACGATTGAGCGACACGCGCCGCTCAATCGCTCAATCAAGGACGACGCTGTCCTCGGCGTCGTCCTTGAAGTCGTCCTAGAAGTCTTCCTAGACCTCTAGGACGACCTTGCTTGTCCCATTACGCGAAAAAGCGTCGTCGTTGTGCCCAAAAGAAGGCCATAAAAATACGTCATTAAGCACGCGCCGCTCACGGTCACGCTAAGTGCGGGAGCGTGATGTCACCGCCGGAGTGCCGTGTGCAAAAGGTGCGCTTCGGACTTAATCTGTGCTCGTTGTGTGCTTCGTGCGATGGACTGCGAGGCGACCGCGTCTACTTCTACGGCCTCTACATCGGCAGCAGCGTCTACATCTACGGCTGCTTCCGCAGGCGAACGTGGCCGCCCATGCCAATACGCCACAGCCTCCTTAAGTGTATTTTACTAGGCGTCGTTCTCGACGTCGTCCTAGATGTCTTCCTCTAGGCGTCGTTCTTAAGGTGGTCCCAGAGGTCGTCCTAGAAGTTGTCCGGGACGTCGTTCTTGTCGTCGTCCTCTAGGACATCATCCTCAACGTCGTCCTGGGCGCCGTTCTTGTCGTCATCCTCGACGTCGTCCTAGACGTCGTCTTTGAGGTCGTCCGAGAGATCGTCCTCGGCGTCGTCCTAGCGGTCGTCCTAGACGCCGTACTTGGCGTTGGTCTCTAGGACCTCGTCCTATACGTCGTCCTAAACTTTAATACGTGTAGAAACATTTCTCGAAAACATTTCTCCCGCGCGACTATATTGCCTTCCTACACGAAAACGGTTTTGAATGTCCTCCTGTAATTTTTTTCACTTATTCGTTCATTTGGCATACATTCAGGTTCCATGGACTGACCGCAGAAGTAAATTAGATAACGTAAAGGAATGTATACAATTTGCTACTGACCTCAGGTTGCCAGTTACTAAGTACTATTCAAGCGACTGAAAAGTTACTTATTCATTTCAGCCGATTTATTCATTTGGTTCAGAAATAAGACAGTGACCTTTCAAAAATGCAGCGCGCTGCTTTACTTATCCTCCTTACCGTGGGCAGTAGCTGCATGGGAAAGGGAGCACAACGAGGAAGGAATATTCTCCAGTTGTAGGCTCGTAAGCAACCGATGGTGGAAAGCTTTAGTCGATTTTATTTGTTTAGTTGGGGCTTTCAGTGGGGCGATCCTTTATTGGCAGAATTCTTGGTGTTGAGTTTGACAACGCCGAAGGTGATGCCGCGACAGCCCTATAGAACGGTGCACTTTTGACCGATGGATCGGTTAAATGTTTAACCTTTGAAGAAGAAGAAGAAAATAGATGGGAGTTATGGAGAATTTGGCTTAACCTTTGAATAATGCAATACTATATTGAGCGCTTTAGGATCATCAATATATTTGACATCACTAATGATTACACGATAAAGACAGGTGTGCAATCCATTTTACGATGGCGGTAAAGCGAAGCAACAATGCAATGCGAGTAAAGAATGTTTTACGTGTTTGGAGGAATGTACATAACAGTGTTAAGGAATGGAATCAAAGAGAAGAGCTCGTGTCGTGTGCCTTTTTACAGCTGAGCTATTAAGGGCTAGTTTCCCCAGTTTCGTGTCCGTGGGCAAATAAATCTCGACACAACCCTCTGGACAGCTACGGCCATCTATGAGCGACGGCGGCAACCAGACAACCGACTTGCCAGTTGTCTGGTTGCCGCCGTCGCTCATAGATGGCGGCACATAGTACAGCTCCGCTGCTCTTCCTTCTTCACCAGAGTGGAAAGGCTGAAAGTTTTGTTTTTGAGTTATTTGTTAAACGGAGTAAACGCTCCAAATTCGAGTACGGGGTTCAGTGTGAGATATGCTTTCAAAGGCTCTTATGTGAGCCGATAGACTGTGCGATGACCGAATGTCAAATACTGACCAAACGTCGCGCGAAATTCGGACGAGGAAAAAATAGTTCCACAAGGTTGTTTTTAAATAACCACGCAGTAGTATTTATCGTACGGAGATCGTTAGTAGTAGAGAGTTTTAGTAAATCGTGTTTACAGGCCACGCTAATCGTAGCGGGAGCTCGCGCTGCCACTTCGATGCATGCTCTGAAGCGCGCGCTCGTAGCGGCAGGACGAGGACAGACGAAGAAGTGGACAGGACAGGCGCTAACTCACAACTGACGGTTTTATATACAACGTTAAAGAAGAAGGTGAAGGAAGTGTCTGGTGTTGAAAAAAGAAGAAAAAACCGTGGGAGACAAATTGAGAATAAAAATATTGGATAAAAATTAATAGAAATCCCTTTCACATGTGGGAAAGTGTATATAGGACAGACTGGACGTTGCATAAACACACGACTGAGAGAACATGCCCTGACCCTGCAGTCAACACCTTCTGGACATTTAGCCATGCATGTGCGAGATTGCTCCTGCACACCTTTGCTTTCAAACACAAAAGTGATCGGACGTTTTAAAGAAAAGAGGAACAGGGAAATCTATGAAGCACAGACCATACAAGCCAATGAAGAAAAATGCGTCTCCGCACCATCCTTGGCGTTGACGGACAAAGAGGTTCAGTACTTGAACCACTATACATAATCACGCTTGCACGTGAGCGCGTGAGGTGGTGCACCGGGTGGGTCTATGCGCTCGCGCCGGTATAGCTTTGGCTGTGGTGCCTGTTGGATGTAAAAAGGTAAATAAGCTGTACGAGGCACTGATCGGCGGCCTTTGGACGATCACCTTTTTTTCTATTAACTTTTTTTTTTTTTCTATTAACTTTTTTTCTATTAATTTTTTTCTATTAATTTTTATCCAATATTTTTATTCTCAATTTGTCTCCCACGGTTTTTTCTTCTTTTTTCAACACCAGACACTTCCTTCACCTTCTTCTTTAACGTTGTATATAAAACCGTCAGTTGTGAGTTAGCGCCTGTCCTGTCCACTTCTTCGTCTGTCCTCGTCCTAGCGCTATTTGTAATTTAATTATGTGTAACCAACTAGCCCGCCAGAATGTTTTAACTCGTAGCGGCAGCGGGCCTTTGAAAACGATCTACTAAAACTACTTATTCTTTCAACAAAACCCTGTTTGGTAGTAGTGTGCAGTAAATACCCTCGTTTTCACAAAATAGTGCGGAACGATTTTGGCATATCCCCAATTCCGTGCGATTTTTTGTTGGTTTTTAGCTGATTTCTTCGAGCCTTTACTCACACTTCATTTTTGCGGTGGCTTTTTTTATATACCCGCGCTTCGTGACACGTGAATCTACGTTTCAGTGTTAAAATATAATCATTTCTATTTGAACTTTCGTGCGCGCGGACATCGCTGAAACCAGACTGAAAGAGGGCTTTTCTGCTGTTTATTACTGGGATTCTTGAGCACATGCCTGATTCCGTTTAATTAATAAATTCTCTGCCGAAGCTCACTCAGGTCATGTTACAATCGTGGACACAGCGCGGGTGCCGCTATAGTATCCTCCAACGAGAAAGCCTGTGAGCATTTCCAGATAATGTTTACGACGCGGTTGTTTATAACCGCACGTTTACCCGCGTAAACAATTTGTGGAAACGCGATTCCTCCAGTTTCGTTGGCGAGACTCCCGCAGCAGCGCTATCTCGATCAGACGTGCTAATCTAGAGTTTCATTTTGCCGAACGCCTTTAGTCACGTGCAAAGAAAAAAGAAAAAAAGGAGGCCCATCTTTAAGGC